GAGGAGGAGGGGGAGGGGAACGGGAGGAGGAGAATGATGCGAGTGTGGAAGAGGAGGGTGATGATGATGAGGATGAGGGGGAGGAGGAGGAGGAGGAGGAGGAGGAAGAGGAGGAGGAGGAGGAGGAGGAGGAGGAGGCGGGGGCGGAGGAGGAGGAGGAGCAGGAGGAGGAGGAGGAGGAGGAGGAAGAAGAAGAAGAAGAAGGGCGTCCAGTTTCCGCTGCATGTCAGCCGCCACCCCGCCCAAGGAGAGCCAGCCCGACGGGCACTACGGCGTTGCCGCGAGCAGCGCTGGCGGCGAGGCGCCGCCAATTGAATAGTGTGTGCACAGGACCACTGCGAGCGTCAACGAAGCATCACTGTAGTGTCAACGCTGGCGTTGAGACTGCAGTGATGGATCGTTGACGCTCGCAGTTGGTCCTGTATACGCATGCTTCGATTGTGCCCAGGCTCCATCGAGCAAACGTCCTCGCAGGAGCAATGCCAAGCACGACGCGGACGAGGTGCTCGAGACCGCTGGCAAGTACAACTTCGGCGTGGCGGCCGACTTGCAGGTTGGGCGCCAAGAAACCCGAGAGGATGGGTTGGGATGGCGTGGACGACGGGAGGGATATCGGACGAGGTTGAGGAGGAGGAGAAGGAAGCAGGGGGTGGGAGGACGAGGGATAAGGGGGTAGGCGGATGGAGCGCGTTGAACACGGTGGTGGCGGAGGGCAGTAGCAGGAGGAGTGGGGAGGAGAGGGGGAGGGATGAGGAGGAGAGGAGATATGAGATGGAGGGAGGAGGAGGGGGAGGGGGAGGAGAGATGAGGAGGAAGAGGGAGGAGGAGGAGGAGGAGGAGGAGGAGGAGGAGGAGGCGGACGACGAGCAGGGAGGGAGGATGAGGAGGAGGAGGAGGAGGAGGAGGAGGAGGGGGAGGAGGAGGGGGAGGGGAATGGAGGCGGGAGGAGCATCCTCTGGCCACTACGTGTTTCAGCTCCCTAATTGTGTTATTCTCAAGGTTGCGTGGAGGCATCGCGTCGACGGATCCAGTCTCAGAGAGTACTCGAAGCGGGTCGTGGATGAGCAGGACGAGCACGGCACATTCAAGATGGCACACTTCGGTGACGGTGCTGTGTGGAGGTTGCCAGATACGACTATGTGCACCGTCGCCGCGCAGGACAAGAAAACTGGCGAGGCAACCGTGTGGAGTGGCTCGATGAAAGGCAGCAGTAGCATGATCAAACTCACGTGGGTCAACAAGAAGGATACGTCGTGGCTAGCTATCTGGGAGAGTGTTCCTGGTGGACGTCCTGCGCAGAAGTTCCAGCTTCTGAAATACACGTGCCCGAAGGCGGCTGAACAGTTTGCAGTGCGACTAGTAAAAGACTATGCTAGTGGGAAGATCGACAAAGCCGAGATGGAGGCATCTAAAAAGGCTTGGCTCGAGGAGAACAGTGACCAGCCAGTGAGGAAACGACCAGCCATGAAAAAGCCCGCAGCGGCCGTTTTCGCCAAGATCGACAAGGACGACGACTCGGACAACGGCGAGGGCGAGGATGGCGCTGCGGCCTGTGCTTCGCCCCCCGAAGCTGGCGACGAGGAGAGCGACCATCCCGACGAGGAGGAGGAGGATCACCGCGAGGAGGACCCCGACGAGGAGGACTCCAACGAGGAGGACGACTACGACGAGAACACCAGCACGGTCAAGAAGCGCCCGTCCGCCATGATGGACCCGTCCGTGAAGATGCGCCCGTCCGCCATCGTGCAGGACTCGAGCCAGGAGGTGGACGATGCCGATAAGGAGATCAACATCAAGGCGCGCCCCAAGGCCTCGCCCTCGAAGCCGGGCGCCGCCGCGCAGCCGTCGGCTCCGGAAGCGGCGCCCTCTCAGCAGGCGCCGCTCGGCGGCGCTGCGCCTGTGTCTGCGCCGCCAGACTTCGGCTTTCTGTAAACAGAAAGCCACAAAACAGAGTGTTGGGAAAGGCTTCCCCGCGGGCCCCCCCCGCTGACCTACTCGAGCGGGCCCCCAGTTATCGCTGCAGGCCTCCCCCGCTGGCCTCACCATGGGCGCTACGGGTCCAACCGACCTCCTCCGCCGCCACTATCTCCTCTGCCTGCTCAATCTCCCCCCACCGCATTCCTCGTATTACCCACTCCTCCTCATCATCATCATCCTCCGCCTCCTCCTCATCCTCCTCCTCCTTCGCCTTCTCCTCTTCCTCCTCATCAATGCCATGTGTTCGAAACGCCATGTTGCGAGGCCGAGTAAACTCGACGACGACGTCGTCGTCGTCGACGTCGACGTCGTCGGTGTCATCGACAACGTCGACGTCGACGACGTCGACAGGCACCGACGTCGCCGTCGACGACGACGTCGTCGTCGCGGGAGGTTTTCGACAAGGGGAGCTCCGCAACTAGCGAAGATAAGAAACACCCACCCCCCGCATCAAACAGAAACGAGCGTGAGACGCCGACTGATGTCACAACATTCTGAATTGTGGACCCCATAGATGACACCCCTATATATATACGCCACGAGAGTCACGATGCCCAAGACTGACCCCGTTCAGTGGGGGCTTGTTCCCCGCAACTGGATGAGTACTCCCCTCGGCCGCGCATTCCTATCTCTCGAGCGGGGGCCCATGGCCGACGCGGTGATGGAGCAGCAGAGGGCCCGCGCCCCACCTGGACCCGTACGCGACGACGTCCTACGGATCGACGCAGAGAGGAGGGCGGAGGCGCGCGGGTCTATATAACCTTCGGGCCGAAGATGGGCTGGAGCACCAGCGGGTTCGTGTGCTCCTGCGGGGAGGGGCTGGGTCGAAATGCAACCTCCTCGTCGGCGAACCGTCAACGAGGCGTCACTGCAGCGCCAACGTCCGCGTTGACAGTGCAGCGACGCTTCGCTGACGCTTCGCGTCGCCGCAGTGCGCACACGATAACTAGTACGTGATCCGACCGTTTGTAATATTCGAAAAAGAAAAGGAGGACACGGGAGGAGGAGGAGTGGGGAACGATGGAGGATAATGGAGGAGATGGAGATGCAGGGGAGGGGGAGCGGAGAACAGACACGCGACCCCCAGGCGCAGGCAGTGCAGCACGAGAGCGGCGGCGAGGCTCGCGTCGACGGGGACGGGCACCCACCGGTTTCCACGATCGAGATTCCCGACTCGCCGCTGCGGGAGCCCGACCTCGCCACCCAGCCATTCCCCATCGGCGTCGACGCGTCCCTGGACGAGCGCATGGGCATGGGCGGCGCCGAGATCGAGAATCAGGTGGCGACGCTGGTCGAGCAGCAGGAGCAGGAGGAAAGGGAGACGAGGAAGAAGATGCTGAGGGTTTGAGGGGGGCGAGGAGGAAGAGGATCACGAGGCGGAGGAGGTGGTGAATGCAGGGAGTGAAGTGGGAGACACGAGTGTAGGTAGGTCGAGAGTTTCTCGGCGGGACCGCCGCGGCGATGAGGGGGAGGGGGTGTGGAGGAGGAAGGTCGACGATGAGGAGACGAAGGAGGAGGAGGAGGGGGAGGAGGAGGAGGAGGAGGAGGAGGAGGAGGAGGAGGAGGGGGAGGAGGAGGAGGAGGAGGAGGGGGAGGAGGAGGAGGGTGAGGAGGAGGAGGAGGAGGATGAGGAGGAGGAAGATGAGGAGGCAGATTTCGGATGGACCAGGAGGAAGAGGAGAACGGGAGGAGGATAACTAGGAGAACGGTGAGGGAGGACAAGAACAAGAATTTGGGATGTCCCAGGACGCAGCGAGCTCGACGACTTCGGCACCAACAGGCCCATCGCCATGGCTGCTGCTGTCGGCGCATATGCCAGCCCCCGTTCGCAGCCCCGATGGCGACGAGGGCAACGCCGAGTCGGCCCAGGCTCCGCCGACGGCATCAGCTACTCTGGCGGCCGCCGAGTCGGCCCAGGCTCCGCCGACGGCATCAGCTACTCTGGCGGCCGTCGATGCGCCCACCGTGGACGACGCGCGCCCCACGCCGTACTGGTGCCCGCCGCCACAGACTGTGCCCGACACGAAGGACTCAACTCCTTCATCCTCCTCGTCGTCGTCCTCGTCCTACTCTTCCTCGTCCTCGCCCTCGCCCGTGATCACACATCCCTCCGTCCTCATCTGGGACCAGCTGGCCCCAGGACGGCCCAAGAGGGGCCCCAAAGCGCACCAAGGAGCTCCCAAGATATACCCGACAGGGCCAGGTGAGGCCCCCTACGGCAGGCCAAGATGGCCCACATGGGGGCACCACGAGAGCCCAAGCCTCCAAAAACGGACCCAGAGGGGCCCTGCATCCTTCTCCCTCCCTCGTCGCACAGCTCAGGATGACCTCGTGGAGCTCGCGCCCCCGCTGTCGACCCAGCAGGTCACGGGCCACGACAGCGACGACGACGACTTGCTGACGATCGCGAACGGCGCAGCTCCGCGGCTGGCGGCGGAGGGCAGCCGCAGCGGCCGCAGTGGCGGCGTCGCCGCGGTCGGCGAGCTGTCGGCGGCGGCATCAGCGCAGCCCCTCCCCTCGGCGCAGCGGCTGCGTCGGGCGGAGTCCCAGCCCGTCTTCGGCCCGCAGTCGTCGCCCGAGGAGCCCGTCACGCCCCAGAAGTGCCAGAACACCAGGAGGCCGCCGATCGGGCCAGTCCGAACCCACGGGGGGTGACAGTTGAGATGTTCGTGTTCCCCCCGTCCTATTCATCCCCCTCCCCACCCTCACTCCCTCTTCATCCTCCATCCAAATCTCTCGCATTCACCCAACTCCCTCCATCCCATGTGCCTCATCCATCCCCATACATCCCTTATCCCACATCCTCCTCGTCCTCCCGCCCATCCCTCCACCACCTCTCCCCCAATCCCGCCCGTCCCCTCATCCCCCATCCTCCCCTTGTCCTCATCCGTCCTCGCCCTCGTCATCCTCCTCCATCGTCGCCCACCTTCTGTCCTCCACCCCGCCCATCCGGTCAAGTCACCCCATCATCTGGTTTGTTGTTCTGGTTGGTTTCGAATTGCCTTCTGCTCACTACCAGGGCCATGTACGACTCGTTCCTGGGCCAGGCCAAGACGATCGAGAACATCCTCCGCGACGACAGCGTGCAGCAGCCTGACGAGTTGGTGGTACTTGGCCACCTCGAGAACTTGCTGAAGAGCGATCCAGTCAAACAATTCAGATCGTGGGCAACGACTGACGCCCCGCCGAGCTTCGAGCCGCTGCCCGTCGGCAGTCCCGGCCCCGCGGGCGCTGAGCCCGTGTCTGAGAAGGGCCGCAAGGAGGCCGAGTTCTGGCAGGCGGCAGCCAAAAGTAATTTTACGTTTGCCGCCAGGGGGGTCGCTGGGAACCCAGCGGCGGGTCGGTGGCAGCGAGCATACGAGGCGAACGCAGACTTGAAGGCCAAGTACCATGCGGCGTGCGAAGGCCTGAAAGGCAAACAATTGTGGGATAAGCAAAAGGAGTTCAAATCCAGCTGGCTGCAGTCCGAACACGAGCGGTACCTGAAGAAGCAGGTGAAGACGTCGACACAGAAGAAGTCGTGGGCCAAGAAGGGCAAGTACATGATGGTCGGGAGGATGGCCTGGAAAGAAGGAGGAGGAAAGGCAGGGTGGATTGCGACGACAAAACGGATGACAAAATGTATAGCGATGGGGCCTCCGTTCCTGAAGTACGACGGGTGGTCGGAGTCCCTCAAAGGCCTCTTCGTGGAGGAGGAGTACAACGAGGAGTTCGACGAGACCTGGACGCTACATGAAGAGTGTTTGGGCAAAGATCCGAGCGGGATCCAGCAGCAGGCAGCCAGTGACATGGCGGCTCTGGCAACGACTCGGGCAAGCGCGAGGCCGCGCCAGTGGGCGCCGAGCAGGGGAACTCGAAGAAGAAGAGCAAGGCGGACTCCAATTTCAAGGCCGAACCTGATGGTGCTGAGATCGTGCCGAAGCCCAAGAAGCTCCCGAGGACTTCCAAGCCGTCCAAGCCCGATGGCGACACGTCCAAGCCAAGCCCTCCGACGACGTCAACCTCGTCAAGGAAGCGAAGGGCGTCATCATCAAGCACGGCCTCGCGATGGTGCAGGCGCACACGATCCTGGGCAACATCGAGGCTGGGCAGAAGGAGTGGATCTTCATGAAGGAGGAGCCGATGCGCTACGCGAACTTGCAGAAGGACACGCGGGGCGCAAGCCTTGCACACCACCCTCCTCCTCCTCCTCCTCCTCCTCCTCCTCCTCCTCCTCCTCCTCCTCCTCCCCCTCCTCCTCCTCATCGGCATCCTCGTCCTCGTGCTCCTCATCATCCCCCCCCTCGTCCTCTTCCTCCGCCTCCTCGAAACGTCCCCCCATCTTCGAAACGCTCGGCGATGGCGGCGATGGCGACGACGCCGACGATGGACGACGGCGGTGGCGACGACGGCGGAGAGCGGGCGAGGGGGCGATGAGATCCTCGTGCCCCCAACCACGGGGGCCGTAGCTTATTGGCCTCAGCAGGCGCTGCAGCTCCTGAACGCAGAGGTGCAGAAAACCGACGGCCTCAACAGGTTGCTGACCACGAAACTGCCCGAGGTTAAGAAGAGCATGGACGAAACGAAATTCCACGGGATCCTCCTGGCCTGCATCGGCCCGGCGCAATCGGTCGACAACCTGGCGAAGGAGAGCAGCATTCTGAACAAAGAGGTGGCCGCCCGCCAGGAGGACTGAATTCACTTGAGCTCGACGCGCTGCCCACACGGGCGCTCTGTTTTTTTTGCTGCGGGGCGCGCGGTGCACGTCGTTTGGGGCCCAGGCAGGCCGCCAAGCTGGGGGTGAGGGTTACTATGCCCTCTCCTCCTCCCCCTCCTCCTCCTCCTCCTCCTCCTCCTCCTCCTCCTCGGCATCCTCATCCTCGTCTTCCTCATCCCCCCCTCTCATCCCCCTCCCCCTCCTCGAAACGCTCGAAACCACAAATCTAAAAACAAAAAAAAAAAAAAAACAAAAAAAAAAACGCACACGCACACACACACACACCGATTTCAGGGAAAAAAAAAAACAAGATTTCTGGAAAATCTGGCCGTCAACGGACCGTTGACGGTCCGTTGGCACCTGGACCGTTGACGAACCGTTGACGAACCGTTGAGACCTGTCGGAATGTGAGGATGTCTCCGGCGAAACGACCCATCTACCGTTGACACCTGGCCACCGTTGAGAGTTGACGAACCGTTGACGGTTCGTTGACGGTTCGTTGACACCTGGCGCGTGAGCTGGATCGGCTGATCCAGCACGCGGCCGGCCGTTCACTGACAAAAAACAACGATTCGGGCTCCGAGCGCGATTTTTGCGAGGGCCGCGGGCCCTGGCTCCGTGGGCGCGGAGCACTCGATGCTTCTGCGGTGCACCGCAAGGCCCTGCCATGCACCAGAGCTTCCCGACTGGATGCGTTTCTTTCCGAGCGCAACCAGGGGCGGGTTTTCGTCGCGTTGCTGAGGCACGTGGTGGCTCACGGCTCTCAGTGTACTGAGCCAGTTTGCGCATGGCTCTTTGCCGATAGGCTCGCTGGCACCGCCCAGCGAGATACGCGAGCGGCCAGACCCCTTCGCCCGTGCCCAGAGGTATTTTGGTTGCGATGGCGTTTGAAAATGAAATGGGGCGAACTCTGGGGGGAAATGCCAATCCGACGACATCAGCGCCGATAAAATATCTATGGGCACGGGCGACGGGTTCTGGCCGCCATCGCCTCACAGGCATCAATGATGCTGCAGTCTATCTCCTCTCCCGCTCTGCTTCACTGCACACCGTTAGACCATGACTCCCCCGCTGTCTCGTCCATGCCTTCACCTCGTTCTCCTGTAACCACCCCATCCACCCCTCCCTTCCCCAACCCATCGCCCCTGCTCCCTCCGATTCATCATCTCTTTCCTCCGTGTACCACATCCACGTTTTTTTCATGTTCGATATGGGAAGCTGATATGGTTGATGTATATCGGTTCTCGCGGTGTCTCACATGGTCGGTCGCCATATCATCGGAAGTCATGCTTCGTGTCATCCGTCTATCTCTCACATGTGGCTGGCCTGGCCACCGTTTCCTTTAAGTACGCAGCTGCTCGCGCCGCTATGTGCCTGGCAGTGCGAGGCATTGCCGATGCAGGGCTGAGCCATCAGTATTTGCGTAGCGCCATGCGTGACTCCGCACGCGTGGCGCACGGGCGCAAGCTTGCACGATGCATGCTTGCCGACACGGTAAGCCGACGTCGACGCGGGGCGGAGCCAAGTCGGGGTCCGAGGGGGTGGAATAGACAAACAGTTGCTACCACACGTCTGCAGCATCTGGCCTCGGACGGAGCGTGAATAACTTCCCCGTGGTGTTACACTTCCCCCATTGAAGAAGCCGCGTCGGGTCGAGTCTGGCAGCTCGGAGCGCGCTGACATAGTATACAACCCCCCAACTCTCGGGCGCGCCATGGGCAGACGATCTCGGTCTCGGAGCAAGCGGAGATGGGAGGGCTCGTCCTCGGAGGCTCGTGAACACGGGGCAGAGGCCCTTCGGCTCCTTCTCGGTTGGTATGCATCGTGCAAGCTGAGCGCGAAGGACTTCGCGACTGTTTGCTGGCATCTAGATAAGGCTGGTACACCAGGTGGGGCATGCAGCATGTACGCAGCACATCCAAATATGCAATCTGGGAAATATCAGCACGTACTCGACAAGGTCTTACCAAGTCCTGGGCCCATGTATAATATCAGCACACCTGGGAACTGGAATGGACAAGGTTTGAGAAAAAACGATGGCACTACCTTTTCGGGCTGCGTTTGAAGCCGTGAATGAAGAGTTGTTAGGTGACGCGTCGGTGCTCCAAGTGCTTGATGGCCCAGCCGACGGCCGCCCGCAGTGCGCCCTGGATACACGAGCTTACCAGAATCATCCCGCAGTCGTGCGGGCCCGAGAGGCCAATGAGCCCAAGCCTCTCCCTCTTGGCTTTTATCGTGATGGGATATGCTATCAAAACGGGGCGTCAGGGCGGCAGGGCACAGTGTTGGGGTTTTGGGCTATCAACCTGGTCACAGCTAAACGTCATTTACTCGGTGGGCTCAAGCTTCGGGATGGGTGTCGTTGTGGCTGCACGTTCTGGTGCACGCTGTATCCAGTGCTGGTTGCCCTGCGCTGGCCTTAGCAATGCCAATCGTGCAAAGCAGTGTCCACGTTAATTCTGCGCAGTGCAGCAGCAGCAGCAGCAGCAACAGCGGCGTTGATCGCCCGTGCCCCGATCGAGTCTGCTGTATGGGGGGGGGGGGCATACGCGGTCACTACTGTATTGATTGTTCGAAACGAGTTCGATCGAAGGGGGAGGGGTGGTCGTGTAGATGTGTCGACATGCCATCTAAGGCGCTGGATGTTTGTGGCACTAGCGAACGGCACGTACCCAGAGCGCAGACACGACGGCAGCGAGTGGGGAGAGGGTGATCCCCTTGGCAGTAGGCGACCTTTGTGCAGGAAGGCCGTCCTCCTGTGGATAAAGGGGGGTTGGTCGGAACACAACAAGTCACTGGGCCTCGCTGCCTGGAACAGTGCTTTTAATCCATGCCAATTCTGCAGCTTGGTGAAAAGCGACTTGCATTCTATGAACATGTGCTTGTTAGCCGATCATTCGGAACCTACATGGCCATTGCGGGATCATGGTGAATACGAGCAGTCGTGCAGGAAATGCGAAATCACTGTCCGTTTCGATAACCACGACGACCGACGAGGAGTTCTGCGCCACATCGAATGGACCCCCAAAACGGGCCAGCGAGGACCTACTATAGTTAGCGAGGTCGTCGTTTGCGGAGTCACCCTTCTACCAGGGGATCGCCTTGAGCCCTCAGGGTTCTTGATGGACGTAGGAAAGTTTGCAGTGAAGCGCCTCCCCCTCACCGTCGTGTTCTGGAGAACCAGGAGGAGCGGGGACGGGGCGCCACTTGATCCCGTGGTGCACAGGCCCCAGGGCAACCCAACATAGCATGGGCTCGGACACTCCCAGGTGGTAGCATTCGAGCCCCCCCCAGGGGGGCAGCAGTGGCAGAGAGAACATCGACGGGGGATGTCTGATTGTCAAATGGAGGGCCCAGTGGGCTCGACCGCGGGCTCGCATCGGGGGCAATGGCGGCGAGCTCGCGCGCAACATTATCGGGGTTGCTTCAGGGCACGCGCCCGCCACGCCAGCTGCGTCTTGCCGAGATCATTCGATTGGTCAGTCGACCTAGCCAAGCGGTCAACCATGAGATCCAACATGGCTACGGACAGTCCTCCCTCCTCCTCATCCTCCTCTTCATCCTCCCCATCGGCTCCTCTTGGTCCGCTTCCTCCTCATCCTCCCCCTCCCCCTCCTCCCCCCCCCTCCTCCTCCTCCTCCCTCCCTCCCTCCTCGTCATCCTCCTCCTCCTGTTCTTTCTCATCAGGCGTATCGCCCCCCTCCCTCGCTTCGCCCTGGGTTACCCCCCCCCAAATGTTCAGGTCACTCTACCAGTCCCTGCCCGTGACACTAAATCTGCTGCTGCGTCCCTGGGAGGGGGGAAGGGTGGCGCTGTGCGTCTGGCGCTGGCTTCTCTCTCTCTCTCTCTCTCTCTCTCTCTCTCTCTCTCTCTCTCTCTCTTGATCAGGTGCCCGCTGTTTGATGGCGAGGTTCTGGAGACGTCTCCAAGTAGGACCCTGGCTGTGGACAGTCTACACACCCTGTATTACGGCCCCATACAGCGGTATACGTCATCGTGTTTTTGGCGCGTGCTTGGCAACAATCCTTGGAATTGCACGGGGTCCCTCAAAGCGAGGCTCGAAATAGGGGTACGGCGGATGTCGGAAGACATGTTAGCATGGTTTGGTAATGAAGGATCGTGGGTGCCATATACAAGTCGCATCGGCTACATCACATTGGGGTCTTTGGGGCCCAGAAAGAACGCGCCAAACTTGAAACGACACCCAGGGAAAACCATGAGCTTCAAAGCTGCCGAGACGGGAATCCTACTCGAGTTCGCGTTGCATCAATTGGAAACAACAGGCGGTGCCAGAACATATGGTGTGGACATGTTGCAGGCTGGGCGCACTCTGTGTAGATACCGGCAGCTAATGCGGGATAGCCCGCACATCCCGAGCGATGACGTGTACGAAGAGCTCAAGGTGTGCATGAGCGTGCACATGCGATGCTGCGAGCTGGTCGGCATCAGTTCGACACCAACACACCACCTGTGCCTCCACATGACAGACAGGATGTGTCGCAGAAAAGCGCCATGTTGATGCAGACGCGCGCAAACTCCCCCCAGCCACGATAGCTCCCCAGACGACTGACGCTAGTCTCGTCTGCGTGGGGATCGGGGCTGGGGGGGGGGGGGGGGGTGGGGAAAAAACAGGGGGGAATGCGCGCATCAACATCAGCCTGGGCGCCGATGCAGAGACAACGAACGCCAATGCCCCCGAACACCGTGGTCTTGGCCGTTTTCAAACGCAACGTGGACCCCATTCGGTGGCCAATGTGCGCTAGCACTGTTTGGGGAATGTTGCCCCCCCGTACGTCTGTTTTCAACAACCAAAAGTGCGAGCACGTTTGGGGTAGTAGCGTCTGTCGATCTCCGCTGCCCGCATCACCCATTCCCCCTGCCCCCACCCTCGCCATCAGCGGAGGAGAGGACAGTAAATTGAGCACGACGAGGGCGACTAGGGGAAACGAGATAACATATAAAAGGGGTCGGAGGATAATGATGGGGGGAGTGCTCTGGATGGCGATGGGGGGCCATAGTAATGTGGCGGTGGCGGCGGAGAACCAACAACGGCAGGATATACGAGCACGGGTCCCTGAAATTGTACAATTGCTTCGTCGACGAATCGTTGAACCTGCCAGTCAGAACCATAGCTCGTTTCGCTCACCGCTTGACATTTCACAGGAGGCTCTTTATGCTTCTATGGGTTGCAGGGGACATTGAATTTACTCAACTACCTACCTGCTGGGCAATGGCTTCCCTTGGTGTCTGGTTTGCGATATCGGCGTCGCTGTTCTCAGTTACGCCAATTCTAGCTGTGAAGCGGGTGAGGACTCGCCCAGCTGCCCCTGGTCCTCCAGTGCGCCCAACCTTTGAACTGGCACGCGTGTGGGCTCGCTCCCGTTCTGACTCGTGGGCGGCACGTGGCATCACCACGAACTTTGCCGATGCAGATGCTGATTACTCAGTGTACCGTGAATTGTTCAGGGAGGTGCTTGAGCACGTGCCGACCATCAAGCGCGAGCTCGCCTTCGCTGAGCTCTTCGCTGGCGCCGCTGGGAGTACACTGGCAGTGACACGCATGGGTTTCAAGGCGTTCGCATGCGAACGCAGACATGGTGACAGCTGCCAAGACTGCTGTACGATAGGAGGGGTTTGCTTCGCCTTTTACTTGGTCTCGGCAGTTGCCGTATCTGGTTTAGCGCACTGTTCGCCGCAATGCAGCACGTGGATAGGAGTTGCTCGCGGTACGTCGGGGCGCCGCGCGCACAACGTGGACGGCAACACCAGCCGCTTGGACGTGCGCGAGGCGAACTGGATTGCGTTATTCTTGTTTTCGGGTGGGCTAAATTCAACCCACCACCTCCAATTCCCACCAATGGGTTGGCCATTGCTGTTCCGTTCACATCTGTGACCCATGACCACCGACGTGCAACAGTCAATGGACTATCACTGTACCGTCAACGCAATCGTTGACGGGTCATTGATGGTTGTGTGCGCTCTTGGTTTATAAGAGACAACCATGTATATAATGTAAGTCGATTGTGCTATGATGTGCATGGAGCAGCATATAAAAACACCGATTCCAACGGTTAGTTCGATCCCATACTTCCCATGACTACGCTCGCGGCCCTGGGTACCTCGCTCGGGACATGGGGGAAGAGGGACGGGCGTTCGAGCTCTGATGGCGGGGGTCTAAGCACCCTGGGGGGCGCTCATTCATCACCCTCCCATAAACGGTCGTGCAAATCGCAGTGGAAGAGGGGGTGGTCCCCCCTCGCCCTCCTCATCGTCCGTCGGCTCCTCCTCGCGCTATCCATCCACACCACCCCCTCTCGCTCTGCCCTCCTCTTGTTTCTCGTCACCCTCCTCTTCCTCGTCCTCCTCGCCCTCGCTCCTCACCGCCCGTTTCATCAATGCATCCTCGAGCTCCCAGGTCGGAGTTGCTAATCTATGCCGACACGCGTGGTGTGCGGTTCCTGATCGAACAGCCGATCAACTCGCTGATGTATGCTAATGAGAACATCTCGACCGCGATCAGCATGACTGGTGCGGTACGTTTCACTTCGTGCATGGGCAGTTTCGGTGGGGCCACGTTGAAACGGCTCGAATCTTATTCAACGGTTCCCGAAGAGAATCGGCAGCTCCTTTCCAAAGGCCCCAGCGAGTTCAGAGCGCAGAATCCCAACCCAATTGTAGAGTCTGATGCTCTGACAATCGTGACGCCACGTTCAGGGTCTAACGCTGAGGGCGGCTGGAAGGCGGGCGGGTGGGTCACGGGGGCCAAGAAGCGCCTCAAGACATCTGAGCATTATCCCGATCGTTTCTGTTTAGCTCTGGCCGAGACAGCTGCGGCAGGTCTGAGCGGCCCAGCCCGCGAGGCCACGAAGCTGTAGGTTTCCCTCCCTCCATTTCCCATAATAACAACACTGCCTCCAACCATCCCACCCTCGGTTCAGCCTTCCACCCCGCCCGCCACCCACCGAGCACTCCTTTCAACATTTGTTTCGCGGCCCAGATTGCCATATACGGCTGGTCTGCAGGCGGCGCCTCGTGATGGGAGCTCCATCTGTGCAGCGGGTATTTCGACACGCGCTCTCGAAACCATCCTCGGCGCCAGTGTTCATATCAAGTGATTGTAAACTTGCGAGTAGGGGGTGGGAGTGAGTGAGATGAATAATGAGAGGGGTCCCCCCCCGACTCCCCGCTCTTGCCCATGCCCCCCCCTGCAGTCCTCGTCGCCGCCAGGCCATGCTCAAAAAACACTAGGGTCAGCCCGAGCCGCCCGACCAGATGGAGCCATGCATCTATCCGATGTGGAATCGGTGCAGTGGATCAGCGAGGGGGTCGACAGCGAGCTCGTTCGGGAACTGATGAGGCTGGGCGCGCAAATGTCGAGTTGCCACACCCCGCACTTCCCCCCGCCTCCCTCCTCCGAACCGCCCCCGAACCGCCGCCCGCCCCAGGCCCGATGCGGTCGGCCCTTGCGCGCCCAGTCTCATCAATAATACCCCCAACACAATGCCGATCGACGAGGGCAGTGGCAGCCCGCATACCGATAATGATCAACATCAACAGCAACACGGCAGCGAGCAGGCCGACAATCAGCAGCAGCAGCATCAACAACATCAACAGGACACGTACCACATCAAACAAACATGATGAGATGTGCGAAGACCGCATGGCCAAATATGAAGCGAGGTCGAGGTTGGCCCTGCAGCGGCGCCGCGGGGAGAGCGAGAAAGGGAGAGAGAGAGAGAGAGAGAGAGAGAGAGAGAGAGAGAGATAGAGAGAGAGAGAGAGAGAGAGAGAGAGAGAGAGAGAGAGAGAGAGAGATGTTGATTGCGCAGCCCTCGGCTTCGCAGAACACAAGATATTCGTTTTGAACAACCGAGCTTACCTACATCGCGCCCCATCTCGCCCACGCTCCTTATGCGGACCCCCGCCGAGCAAACTTGCACTGCACCGCCGCTGCACCATCAACGCTCGCGTTGACACTGCAGAGTCGGTCTGGTGCGGAGGCCGCGGGAAGGGGGTGGGCGGGGAGCGGTGCGACGCATGTAAATTTGGTTGGTCGCCCCCGCCCCAGACCTTCGCGAGCCCGGGGCGGTGCGCTCTGTAAAGTACAATAATCGCTAGTGTTGCGCCCCTCTGCCCGTCGCCGCCGCCGTCAGAGCCAGTTCTGGAGATTTTCCCGCCTGGTGATCTCGACGAATCGATGTCTATCGACCGCATTGTAGGATGCGGGTTCGCCGTCTCTGCGGCCGAACTCGACGGAAAGAAACAGGGGGTCGTGGAAGATGGAGCGCGAGGGCGGATATGGGAGGGAACGGGGGAAGGTGGGGGTTGCATATGGTAGGTTTCCTTGTTGAGCTCGTGTTAGCTCCCCGCACCGCCCCCCCCCAAACGGGGGTGGGGCGGGTGGTCGGGGGGGGGGGGCGGGCGCAGAGAGATGGATGGGGAAGCGAACAGAAAGTTGATGAAACTTCTGTCCCATCCTTGTCCTTCCCCACAACTTCCCCGTTGCCTGATTTTTACGCAAGGCTATCGCCCCCCCCCGCCGCAACTAGGAGGATGATGTAGATGATGAGGAGGATGAGGAGGAGGAGGCTGAGGAAGAAGGAGAGGAGGAAAGAGGAGAGGAGGAGGAGGAGGAGGAGGAGGAGGGAGGACGGTGATGATGATGGAGGAGGAGGAGGAGGAGGAGGAGGAGGGGAGGAGGGAGGAGGATAATGAGGAGGAGGAGAGGGGGGAGGGGGGGGGAGGAGGGGGATAGGGGGAAGGGAATGGGAGGGGGATGAGGAGGATGCGGAGGGAGAGAGAGGAGGAGGAGGGGAGGAGGAGGAGGAGGAGGAGGAGAGGATAATGAGGAGAAGGATGAGGAGGAAGAGGAGGGAGGAGGGAGGATGAGGAGGGAGGAGGAGGAGGAGGAGGAGGAGGGGTGGATGCGGGGGATATGGGAGGAGGAGGAGGAGGAGGAGGAGGAGGAGTAAGAAAAAGAGGAGGTGGAGGAGGAGGAATAGGAGGCGGAGAAGAAGGAGGAGGAGGAGGAGGAAGAGGAGGAGTAGGAGGAGGAGGAAGAGGTGGAAGAGCACGAAGAGGAGGAGAATGAGGAGGAAGAGGGCGCAACGCCCGCTGTCTACTCAAGCAGAAAGTGTCGTAAAGACGACGATGGCGCCAAACCGTCCCGCACCGCACGTATATCGCACAGGATGTGTTAGAACATATGCACGCACCATTATCACTAGCGGATTATTCGTCGACGTTGCGAATTGCGTGGCAGGATAGACGGCGCTGCATCGCGCGTGAAGAGGTTCATTAACAAGTAACGCTTATCATAAAAACCATAAATCATACAGCTAAAACACTATGTTGTACAGCTATAAAATAGCTGCTAAATATTACAGCTAAAAAACAGCTGTACCGGACCTCAGGGGAGGCACGGGCGTACCTGGTTGCAGTTGATCCAGGCTTCGTGGCCTTGTCCCCGCCTCGTACAGCGTGGAGTCGACTGCAGAGCGTCGGCCAGCGGAGGCCTATGCGAGTGCGCCGGCAACGCCGAGAGCGGATTGAGTACCGCATGTTGCTCTCGTTCACAGACGAGGCGATGCAGTGGCAAGCTGCAGGAGGACGCGCAGCCATGGTAGTGGACCACGCGCAATCGGCAGCCTGGAGCCAGCCACCCATGAATGCCACGAAGTCGAACCCAGCATTCGAGGACACGATCTGTCTCCAGAACACCACGCGGGCGTTGGCAAACCCTGAGGTTTGCACTGCTGCGCGCGGGAGCTGCGCGGAGGATTTCGCCGAGGCTGCGATGACCGGTGGTACGCATTACTTGGCCCAGCAGTGCGAGAACTCGAGTTTCCCTGCGGCGCACCTCCCGGACCCCGCGGAGGAGCCCAGGAGCTATGGACCAGAGTCCGCGGAGCATGGTCCTGGAGAGGTTCCCGGGAGTGTTTCGGAAAGACCTGAGTGGGGCAAAACGCCGCAGGAGATTCGAGCCGAGAATCGCGAGGCATTGCATAAGACGGTGAAAGAGGAATCCACGCAGCACCCCACGGAGGAGGAGGAGGTCGCAGCCTCCTGGTCAGAGATGGAGTTTCCAGAGGTGGTGCGGCAGGACATCATGGCGAAGATTCCCCGGAGTACGCGACGTGCCGTGCGGAAGGCCCATCGCAGTCTTGGACACCCAAGCCGACCGACATTCGTCATGATGCTGCGTCTCGGCGGTGCCGCGCCCAACGCGTTGGCATACGCGAAGCATTGGCAGTGCCCGACTTGCGCTGAGTCGGAGGCGCCGCCCCGCCCAGTGCAAGGGACGGCGGACGTACGACCATTCGGCTTCAACGTGACGGTTGTGATCGACGTGAAGTACCTACGGGACGCGGCCAAGGAGCAGCTGGTGGTTCTCAGCAAGGTGGACGCTGGCACGGGATGGCACTGCGCATGCCTTCTCAAGAATAGGACGGCCAAGCGCGTAGCCCGCCAGATCATGAACGAGTGGTTCAAGCATTACGGCGTGCCAGAGAACATCGTGATCGACCAGGGCGGCGAGTTCGAGGGCTACTTCAACGCGCTGATGGAGCAGTTCGGTATTAATACGAAGACGACGGGAGCTCATGCAGCATGGCAGCATGGCCTGGCAGAGCGCCACGGAGGTCTGCTCGGCACTACCTGGGGCAAGGTGGTGCGCGAGTTCCACGTCGAGGGCAAGTCGATGTCTACTGTGGCCCTGGCTGCTATCGTCAACGCGAAGAATTCGACGATCAGCCGCAACGGGATGACCCCGGAGCAGGCTGTCTTCGGGGGGATCTTGAATTTCACGGAGGTGACCAACAGGGACGACGACGAGGTTCTCATGTCGGTCCTCGGTGCTAAGGGCATAGCTTGGCGTTCGTTTCAAATCCGCACCGCCGCCAAGATGATGTTGCTGGGGCGCGACGCGACGGACAAGGTGCGGAGGGCGCTGCTGCGACAGGCGCCGACGGTCGTCGGCGATCTGCGCCCAGGATCGCGGGTGTATTTCTGGGCGCCGAATCCGTTCAAGGGACGTCGTCGGCAAGATCCTAAAAGGTGGCGGGGTCCTGCGACTGTGATCGCGAAGGAATCCAACAGCCGGTATTACTTATCATGGCGTGGTCACGTGCTACTCGTTGCTCGTGAGCAGCTCCGGCACGCCTCCTCTCAGGAGGCCGCGGCCGCGGAGTCCATCCAGACGGACGCGCGGCTGACGCAGCAGCGAGATGATCGCGCCTTCCACGACGTCGTGGACGTCACGCCCAAGGTGAAGGTCCAGAGGGTGAAGCAGACGTTCCTGAAGAAGGAACGCGAACGACATAGTGAGCTCGAGGGGCCCAGGCAGCCCCGCGTGGACCTGAAGGCCCTGGACGCCACCGAGGCGCAGGCTAAGGAGGAGGAGCCACCTGAGCAGGAGCAGTTGCCTCTGAGGACGACGCGGTCTCGTTCCCCTCCAGGGCGGATTTCCTCTGGGACGCTCCCGGAAGCCTCGCCGGGAGCATCGGGCTCCGGTGGCCCTCCGGAGCCGCCGATTCCCAGAGACGATTTCGAGCTTGAGCGGAAGCGGAAGTTTCTGGTAGATGACGTGCCGAGCTGCATTAAGAGATCGCGTTTGCAGGCTGCCCCCACGAGTGGCTTGCCAGCCCTCCGCGAGGTTGCCATGAACGCTGTGGTGCACTCGGGGCCCCAGGAGTGGTTCGACCAGAACGCCGTGGATGGCATCTCCACGCTCGTTCAGAAGGTCGTGCGAGGAGTACGTGTGCATCGAGGGCCACGGCGGCGACTCTATGATCACGACCGTCACCGGGAGTGCAATCGCCTGTCGATGATGCTCTCCGCCACGGGCCAGTGTGCCTACAAGGACGACGGCGCGAGCCGTACCAACGAGCGCATGGAGGACAGCTGGGTTGGCCTCGCGCTCTTCTACCACGACAAGCCGGATGCTCAGGCGCAGGGGGTGTACTATCTGGACACTCCGGTTGGTCTTGTACGGCAGCCGCTGACTTGCGAGGACTGGCTCAACGTGTCGTCCGTGTACGACACATGGCTGCAGGAGGCACGATACGAGTACGACGTGTTTGCACTCGTGATGAAGCAGAACGCGAAGGAGCTAGACCCACGTCACTTCGACCAGCACGAGAAGGCTAAGTTCGACGAGGCCGATGCCGCCAGTGGCGGCAGTGGATCGCCAACGACACGGTCGAGCTGGTCACCGAGGAGGAGGAGAGGAGCATTCCGAAGGACAAAATCAGCTCGGTGCCCATGCGTTCGGTTCGCACGAATCGGGGGCGAGGACCAGAGTTGGAGGCGAAGTCGCGTTTGATTATCCCTGGTCATCTAGACCCGCAGCTTGGTCTGTTCAGGACGGATTCGCCTACCACCTCCCCTTTGGCCGTGCTGGTGTGTGAGTGCGTCTATCGCAATGGCGATGGATTGGACATTCGAGTGCTTCGACGTAGCGACTGCGTTCCTGTCCGGGCTGAAGCTGGAGCGGGAGCTGTACGCGAGGGCTCCTAAGGACGGACTCCCGGCCGTCGACGGCGCTGGATGGCCAGCTGCGCGGCCTTATGCGTTGCTTCTTTTGCTGAAAGGGGCGCACGGTTTGACGGAGGCGCCTCGGTTACGGCATCTCCGAGCCCGCCAGGTGCTGACGGACGAGGTCGGCTTTGTGGAGCTGCGCTGTGCTCGCGCCGTCTTCATTTACCGGGTGGCCGACAAGTTGATTGCTTTGTTGACGCTGCATGTCGACGACGGCATGCTGTCTGGGAACCCGCGCGACCCCCAGTGCCAGAAGGTGAAGGCGAAGATCAACAAGCGCTTCAACATCAAGCACTGGAAGAAGGGCAATGACAAGGAGGCCGTCGCCTATCTCGGGGAGGAGCGGTGGCGTCACCCCGACCACATTGAGATCAGCATGCACGAGTACATCGGCAAGCTGACAAAGCACCCCCTTGCAAGGGGGCAGGGCGAGGAACGAGAGATGACTCCAGAGGAGCACCACGACTTCCGGAGCTTGCTCCAGAAGGTGCGCTGGCCTGTCGCACGCGTGGTGCCGCAGCTCGCTCACAGCGCGTCGGCGCTCGCACAGAGGGATCCGAAAGGTCGGCGGTTATTGCACCTGCGAGTGCTCACGGACATCATCGACCGACTTCAGGACTACGACAAGAGAGGTCTGGCGACTCTCCGGATCCGCCGCGTGGACATCGAGCACTTGCAGGTGCTCACGCTCATGGACGCTTCGTTCGCAAAGGAGCCCGGCTGTAAGAGCCAGATGGGGTTCATGAGTATGATTACGGACATGCGCGTGCTGAAGGAGCTAGCGGTGCGTTGCCTCGTGGAGTTCCAGAGCAGTACTCTTACACGAGTTGTTGGATCCACGATGGCCGCAGAGTCCGCAGCCATGTCTGTTGCTTTGGATCGGCAGCTCTACCTCAGGCTGCTTATCGAGGCCGTCTTGTACGGGGAGCTGCCCTTGCAAGGGGGCTGGAGGCTGGTGCTGAAGGTCCCGGAGGCGCTTGTGACGGATGCGAAGTCGCTCTACGATCACACGTGCAGGATCGGTTCAATGCCGGTGTCTCGGCAGACCCTCATCGACTTGTTGGTGGCCAAGGACTTGATCGAGCAGGAGGCCATCAAGTTCAAGTGGCTGCCCAACAGCCATATGCTGGCGGACGTGCTGACGAAGGCTGTGTAGCCTAACGAGGTGCTATTGCAGTTTCTCCGTCACGGGGTGTTCAGCATGGTGCCGACTGCTGAACAGGAGGATGAGGAGGCACACCGTCTGCGGCTGCGCCGCGGACAGCGTGAGAGAGCCAAGGAGCGGAAGGTCCAGCGTCGGGCCGCCGTTTCAGGGCCTGCGAGCCCTTGAGGTCCTTGCAGCCGCTGCATGGACCTGGTGATGGCTACGGTGAGGTGCACGCGTATATCGAGATGACAGTCTGGAACAGTGAGTCTGGACATTCATATTTTATAGTTTGAGCCTCAGGCCGCACTTGTGCTTGAGGTGCTCCGACCTGTCGGCCGGAAGAGGCGGTACCGTGTGCCGCGGTTCATGATTGTAAGAAGCGGCATCGGGGCAGCATTGTTCTCACCCAGTGTGAAGAGGGCACCTTCCCTGCCCCTCTGCCGCCCCGTGCCGCCATTGTAAGCATGATGAATGGATGGTACATTCTGTGCATACGTTTCATGTTTGCGGCGTGCGCCCTGCCCGCCGCCGTTTGGCCCTAATCCTAGGGCCCTGGGACTGCACTCAGCAGACAGGTCGCCGCGCGACCCGCGTGAAAACATTCACATTGACAGCAAGGACCACATCTCCCCCAGTTATGGCTGGTCGGACCAGAGGTGGGGGACCCGCGGAGCAGGACGGCGGCGCCTCCAAAGAGGAAGCGGAGGCGGAGGCGGAGGGACCTCGGGGGCCGAGCGCTGGCCTCGGCGAGGGGTCGCGAGCGACGGCGGCTCCGAGCGACGACGACGACGACGACGACGACCACGACCACGACCACGACCACGACCACGACCACGACCACGACGACCACGACGACCACGACGACCACGGCGGCGATGACGACGACGACGACCACGACGACCACGACGACCACGGCGGCGATGACGACCACGGCTCCGAGCAGCGGCGAGTGGCGGCGATGCCGGCAGCGGCGGAGGCGGCGGCGGCGGCGGCGCTCACTTCGGCAACGCGCGGAGGGTGATGCTCTTCCTCCTCCTCTGTTATTCCTCCTCCTCCGCCTCCTCCTCCTCCTCCTCCTCCTCCTCTTCCTCCTCCTCCTCCTCCTCCTCCTCCTCCTCCTCCTCCTCCTCCTCCTCCTCCTCCCCCTTCTCCTCCTCGTAGGCAGGGGGAGGGGGGAAGGCTTCTCAGAAGCACCCCTGCTTCTGAGTCGGCGTGGGCTCAATTGCGTACCTGTAGTTGTACGGCCGGCGCCTTCGAAGAAGCAGCCTCCGTCGAAGCAGCCTTTTTCCCCCTCCCCCTGCCCCTTCCGTGCGCGCCGCCAGCTCGCGGCGACGCCTGCGAGCAGGGGCAAACTCGGCGTGCTCCGCCGCGGGTGCGGCGAGGACGCCTTCGTGGCGGAGTTCCAGGCCAGGTCCGCGGAGGTGCTCACGTCCGGGCGACCCCTGAGCGAGAGCAAGTTCTGCCGCGCGCTGGAGGCCACCTCGGGAGGAGGAGGAGGAGGAGGAGGAGGAGGAGGAGGAGGACGAGAACGAGGACGAGAACGAGGAGGGAGGAGGGAGGAGGGAGGAGTGAGGGGGAGGGAGAGGGGGGAGGAGGAGGAGGTGAGGAGAGGAGGGAGGAGGCGGAGGAGGAGGAGGAGGGGAGGGAGGAGGAGAGGAGGAGGAGGAGGACGAGAAGCGAGGCAGGAGGAGGAGGGAGAGGCAGGGAGGAGGAGGGAGGAAGGGGGAGGAAGAGGATGGGGAGGAGGAGGAGGAGGGAGGAGGAGGAGGAGGAGGAGGAGGTAGGAGGGAAGGAGGAGGAGGAGGAGGGAGGAGGAAGAGGAGGAGGAGGAGGAGGAGGAGGAGGATCACTATTTTACTCCCAAGGCGCATCAACGATGCTGCAAGAAACCCGCGTACGGCTTCGACGAGGGTCGGTACCACTCGACGCAAGTTTTCTCAAGGCCATCTTGGCGTCCCTTGGGGGGGGGCAGGCGGTCTCCGGAGCAAACGGGGGGCCCTTGGAGGTCCATGAGCCACGAACTGCGTGAGGGCTGTGCCGGATCGAAGCCCCCCTCCACCGTCTGAGGGGGCAGCTGAAGGCCCCTGGGAGTCCAGGAGGCGCGAAGTGCGTGAAGAGTGTGCCGAAGTTCCGAGGTGAGGCCCCCTGCAGCTGTCTCTTGGGGCCGGCGGATCGCACCTGGAGGTCCTGGGGGCACGAAGTGCGACAGCGGTGTATAAAATTGAGGCCCCAAGGAGCAGTCGTTGGGGCCAGCCGAGCTCCCATGATGCACCAAGTGCGTGAGGCGTGTGCCGAGCTGGGGCGCCTGGGAGAATTGTTCTCCGAATCCTTCTTGTTTTACGAGTCTCAAACGCTTGGGGGCGCAGGAACTGCGTGAGTGGTGCTCCGAAACGAGGCTTTCGCAGCCCTGAGGGCGCATCTCACTCGTTGTTTTACGTGCCCCAGGAGCTTTCACGCGCGTGGGCCTAGCGCTGGGAGTACGTTTCGCCTGTATTTTTACGTGCCCCAAGACTGCATATCGCAATCGGCCGGCAGAATGCGCAAAGCCCCCCTTAGCATTCCTTACACGTGCCATCCCATATCCAATGGCCTCCGGCCCAGTTCGCCACCGTGTTTGGGTGGTGGGTCGCGACATTTTGGATGTTAGTTGGGATCTCGTCGAGTCCTGTAGGGGACCTCAAGGAGGCAGTTCTGAGGCCTTTGGGGCGCTCTTTTGAAGCCTCTTGGGGCCTCTGTTCAGCTTCTTGGGGGCCTCTTGGGGCCTCGTGGACATCTTGGAGGCCTCGTGGCGCCTCATGGGGGCCTCTTGGGGCCTCCTGGGTGCTTCTTGGAGCGGCAGGGTTGGCTTTCCAGTTCGTGCTCACACTTTTGGGCCCATCTTGGGGCCTTCTAGGGCGCCTCTTGGACCGCCTTAGGGCCCTCTCGGGGGCCTCTGGGGTCGTCTTGGGGGCGGTCTTGGGGGCATCTTGGGACGTCTGAGACCGCCTGGAGCTCGAAAAGTCGAGAACCCCCCAAACATTTGAACATTTTTTTGGGGGGGGAACAGCAATGATTTGGGCAGCTTGGGCTCGTGTGGGAGGGTTATGGGAGGCCTCTTGGGACGTCCTGGGAGCTCTTTCGGCCGACTGAAGGCCATCTTGGGCGTCCTGGACCGACAGTTCAGCAATTCGGGGCCCTCGTGGACCGTCTTGGGAGGCATCTTGGGATTCGGGAGACTGCCCCCAGGCGTTCCGGCATCATTGGGCCCACCTTTCCGAGACCTTGCCGGGGTACGCTTCGTCCGGGGACTCCCAGGAGCGGCCCCGCGTGCGCGCGAACCAGAAGTGTTCTAAGCCTGTTGCCGGAGACCTTAGCACGCCTCTGGCCCGTTGGGCTGGCGAAGTGCTGGACACTTTTAAAACGACTGTGCGCGTCGCGTGAGCGAGAGCCGCATTTTGAAACTGCGCCGCCCTCCATCGTAGAAGCTGTGTATCTTGAAATGAATGTGCGCGGCCCGAAGGCGAGAGCCACATTTTGGACAAGACATGCCCTCCATCCTTGGTGCTGCGGACGTTTAAGACAAAGATGCGCGGCGCCAAGGCGAGAGCCACATGTCGAAAACGGGCCGCCCTCCATCTTTGAACTTATTGCAAATTCAAATGTCAGGATCATGAGTGGTGAGGAGGTATCCGGCGAAACGACCGGCCCGCCCTACGGACACGTTTGGGGGGCGCGACAGGGAGAAGTGAAGTATGAGGAAAATGAATGGAAGAGGAGGAGAGGGAGGAGGAGGAGGAGGAGGAGGAGGAGGAGGAAAAAGAGCTCGAGACGCCAGTTAGCCCTCGGCTTGGGGCTTTGGGGCCTCGGGCATCATCTCCCCTCTCCCTGGAGGTGTGCTACCCTGTAGATGCACGGCGCTGCCTGACACATCGTTGGTCTCTGTTATCTTGCTTCTCCCCGCTGCTGCCCTTGCCCGTGGGACAGGCTACATCACATTGGGTGCGCCTTTAAAACCAAGGCGGAGACGCCAGTTGGCACCCAGGTGGTGCAGCCCGAGCGCCCTGGACCAGGGCATCTCGGCGACGCTGCCCTGGGCCGCCTCACGGTGCCCCCAGTGGTCCCGCTCCGCGGCGCTTTTATGTAGGAGGAGGAGGAGGAGGAAAAGGAGGAGCTATACATTGAGCTATGCGTAGATTGTTTTTTTCCCGCATGGTGGAAGCCACCCTGCACCGTTTGCGAGCACACCGCAGGGTCTGTAGGCCATCGCCGCGTTGGCGGGGTTGTCCCGCAAGACTAGCATGCGGCTTGCGCCGCAGCCTCTGACTGGCACCAGGGAGTGGCTCATCGACTTGAAAAGGATTCATTATCCTAGTCACGCCATCACTAGCGAATAGCTCGCCGACTTGGAAAGAAGTACACTCAAGCGTTGATAAACGAGAACGCGTCATAGACTGCAGCGCTGCTGCCACAAAAGCAGTGTAGCTTCTGCCTTCTAGAATCTGCTCTCGCACATCCGCCCAACGTTCACGATGGCAAAGTCTGCGCAAACCACCGAAATGCGGTCCATTCCCACCTCGGCAAGTTGGTCATCACCGCCATATGCAAACTGTTGATATGCTGCTGCCTGCGCAGCCGAAAGGCAGACAGGCTTAGTCGAACATGAGATGTCACAGCAGTGCATGAATGTATGATTTCATGGAGTGGGAACTACTTGAGACTGTTTATCAGGATAAATGAGGAGGAGGAAAGGAGGAGAAGGAGGGGAGGAGGAGGAGGAGGGAGGAGGCAGGAGGAGAGGAGGAGGAGAAGGATGAGGAGGAAGGAGGAGGAGGCGTGTGAGGAATGCGCTAGAAAAGTAATTTGATGAGAATGAGGGGAGAGGAAGGGCGGAGTAAGGAGGAGCGAGGGAGAACGATGAGGATGCGGAGAGGACTTGGAGGAGTTCTCGCACACGGCCACTCGCCGCACACGGCCACTCGCACGTACACAGCTCCCTGCGCTGGGCCCCGGCAGCCCTGCTGGCGCACTTCGGTGTTCCCTCTGGCGACGAGCACGCTGATTCTCGCACGCCGCTTTGCTCGCGCCCCGGGCTCCCCCGGGGTTTCCAGCTTCGCCTCCTACGTCTTGCTGCAGTCTGGCTCTCCATGCTGAACTCGGACACTGGGGCGTCGGAAGCCTCCTGGACGTCGCCCGCGGGAGGGTCTCCCGAACGAGGCACGCGTGTGGTTCTGGCTTCGGGGCGGCCAGCACGTTGCCCCTTGTCTGCCACTGGCGCGAGGGGATGGACCAGGGGCGCCTGCACGAGGCCATGCTCCCGGGAGTGTGGCTCCCGATGCTTGTCGTAGGGGACGCCTGGCTGGGCGACGGACGTGGTATTCATGATGATACGTTGGGCCATGGCATCTGCAGAACTGCATCTGTGCAAGACAGAACGATCAGCAGCACTGGCATGCTGCAGGAACACATGAGGAGGCACAGGCCGTGCCGCTGGTGCACTCCGGAGCGAACCAGAGCTTGTCCGTCTCCTTCCAGGCGTCCTGGTGCTCTGGTCCGACTCTGCCGCCAGCGGCCTGGGAAAGGCAGACACACACACACACACACAAGCGAACGCTTCCACCGTCCCCCCTCCCCCCTCGCCCCCCCTCCGCCCCCTCCACCGCCCCCCTCCTCCCTCCTCATCCTCCCCCCGATGTGGCCCCCAGCTTCGCCACAGCCGCTTGGGCTCAGCATCGCCGCCGCACGGTGCGGAGGCCGCGCGGCGCGCGGCGCATGGCACGGGTTGCTGCCGTCTCCCACCTCTGGCTCGCCGTCGCTCCCCCCGCCTGCGGCGCTGATGGGCGCCCGGGCGGCGGTGCCGGCGTGCGGCTTCCCGCGGTCGGGCTGGGCGTTGCGGGGAACCTCGACCAGGACCCAGCGCCGTCTGGCCGATCTCCATCCCTCCTGGGCAACGGCATCTCGTCGAACATCTCCGCCCCACCAGCCCGTCCTGCCTATGCCTAGGTGGGTACAGGCCCTGCGAAGCCCGATCATCCTGGGGATACAGTCGGGGTGCTGAAGAAGGAACCCTTTTCGTTGGGGGGGGCTCCGTGTTCCTTGATTGTTTCACAGCTTGCCTTAGGTTTTCCTTTGGTTTTCGATGGAAAATCGACCTTTAACTGATGGGAAAAAGGGGCCTCGTTCCTTATTTAGGGTTCCTTAGGTCAACGTCCCGACTGTAAGCAGGGCAGAGGGGCCGAGACCACGCGAGCGGGGATGGGGACCGGTTCAGCGATGCCCACAGGACGTGCCCGGCACGGCCGACGCCGTGGAGCGTTGGCTGCGGCTGGGCGGTCGCGCGATCGACACGGCGCTGATGTACAACAACGACGCCGGGGTGCGCCTCGGCATCGAGCGCAGCGGCGTGCCGCGCCACGCCGTCGTGCTGACGACGAAGGTGCCGCCAGAGAGCATGGGCTACGCCTCCACCCTGGCGGCCCTGGAGCAGGCGCGCAGGTCGTGGCCAGCGGATGCAGCGGCGGGTGGCCTGCGGGGGGCGCCCTCGTTGCCACGGCTGGGCGCAGCTCAGAGATCGGGGGCGGCCAAGAGGGGGGTGGTATGACACTGCCCCAGGTTTCAGGGCGCCCCCTCTCGTTCCAGTACCTCCCCAGCCCCCCCCCTCCGTGGGCCGCGCACGTGCCGCCGGCCATGATCTGCACCCCCCCCCCGCTTGGACGCCCCCCTCTTTGGCGCCCCCGAGGAGAGCTGGCGTCTCGGGCCTCCCGGGGGGGGGGGGGTCTCAGGGTGGGGGGGGGGGGGCCGGAATTGTGGGGCCGGCGCTTTGTCTCCTCCCCCTCCTCACCTCCTCCCTCCTTCCTTCCTCCTCCTCCCCTCCTCCTCCCCCCTCATCCCCCATCTCCGCCTTCCTCTCCGCCTCCACTCCTCCTCTCCTCCTCCCCCTTCCTCCTCTCCTGGCTCCTCCTCCTCCTCCTCATCCTTTCCTTCCCTCGCCCCTCCTCCTCCTCCTCCCCCCCCTCCTCCTCCTCCTCATCCATCCTCCTCCTCCTCCTCCTCCTCCTCTCCTCCTCTTCCTCCTCCCCCTCCCCCTCCCCCTCCCTCGCCCTCCCCCCTCCTCCTCCTCCTCCTCCTACTCTCCTCCTTCTCCTCTCCTCCTCCCCTCCTCCTCTCCCCTCCTCCTCCTCCTTCTCCTCCTCCTCCTCCTCCTCTCCTCCTCCTCCTCCTCCTCCTGCCCTGCCCTGAGAGGCGCGGGCCGGGCTCGGCGTGGGCGTGCTCGACTGCGCACTGATCCACTGGCCCGGGCGCACCTGGGCGAGGCGAGGCTCGGACCCCGAGTGCGTGGTGGACCGCGGCGGCTCGCTGGGGGCTGACTGGAGCAGGTGTCCTCCTCCTCCTCCTCCTCCTCCTCCTCCTCACCTCCTCCTCCTCCTCATCATCATCATCATCATCATCATCCATCATCATCCTCCTCCTCCTCCTCCTCCTCCTCCTCCTCCTCCTCCTCCGCACCGCATCCTCGGAGGGCTTTGTCTTACCAGCCTCGAACGTATCCCTATCCCTAAAGATTGGCACGCCAAAAGGCGATGACAATCTTGGGGATTCGCCCTCAAAGAATAAGGGAATCCCTAAGATTGGCATCGTGATGAGGAGGTGCCCAGCATAGGGATAGAGATATGTTCCAGGCTGGAAAGCATCCTCGGAGGGCTTTGTCGGTCCAGTGCTTTGCTCGGGGATGGCCAGGACCCCATGGGTAAGGGGACCCGGTCAGTGGCAGGGCCCCAGAGCCTTTGAATATTGGCCAGAGTCACTAAGCCAGGTTTGCCATAGCCGGTGTTTTGTTCGGGTGGCGGCAGTTCCGGTGAGTGGAAATGGGACGGGGGGGCGCCCCCGGTACAGATCTTTAACCAGGTTCCACTAAACCCAGTTCTGCCAACGCCCGTTTTGCGACCTTCTCTTGTGCCCGAATTCTCTGCGGGGTCGACGTGGGCTCGGCGCAGATGCGACTCAGCTTCGACGTGGGTTCGCAGGTTCGACGCGGATTCGGCGCGGATCTGGCGAGGACAGCGGCGAGATGTGACAGACACGGCCCCCCGAGCAATTGTCCAGGAAGGAAAGTGCGTGAACTTCAAGATCCTGATGTCCGCCCAGATGTTCTGGATCGGCGTGGGGCTCCCCTGCCCTGGCGCGCTCCGCGCGCCAGGGGCTGCGCCAGACGCGGCGCCGGGGGGATCCAGCGAAGGCCCAAGACATCCGCGAGGACCTCTGGACGTTGAGGTTTCCCCACCCGACGCGTTGCGGCTGCAGTCGGACCGAGGTAGAGGATCGAGGTCGGCTCGGGGAGGGTGCCGTAGTGTTCGGCTAGAGTCTGTCGGAGGTTCCCGTGCCTCCTGCGGAGGGCGCCCTCGGATGTTCTGTCTGGTTTGGCCGACGGAGGGCCTCGTGCTCTTGAAGGATGTTTTTTTTCTGGCGTAGGTTTATGTCGGTTCGGATGCAACTCCTGGGAGGTTAAATTCTGACTTTGCCCTGGTCCGAAAACCGGCTTAATCCCGCTTAATCCGGCTTAATCCCGCTCAATCCCGCTCAATCCCGCTTAATCCGGCTTAATCCTGCTTAGTCTGAGGCCCATTCCGGCGTAACAGTCCCCAAATGGGACTTAATCTTTTTTAATTTCTCCGACGAAAACCTCCCAGTAGTTGCCTCCTAATGTCGGGCCTGTCCCCCTGCAGGGGGATATTCGACGAAAAGTAAACAGTACCCCAAACATGCCCCAAAAAAAGGTCAAAACAGATTCAAAACATAGTCCCCAGACTATGTTTGGATTATTGTTTGATTATTTTTGGGGGTATGTTTTATTTTTCGTCGAAAGTCCCCGTGTAGGGGGACACGCCCGACATAAGCTCAGGTCCGATTGTGCTCGATTTTGTAGGAACAGGAGCTCCCGACCCGCCTCGCACACCCCGCTTGCCGCGGCCAGCAGGCCCAGACTGAGCCGGTACTCCCTGGGCTCCCCGCCTCGTGCCCTCAACGAATCACCTGGCATCGCTCGGACGTGTGCATTTTTTCTCGGCGGGGACCATCGCGGACCATCCTGGACCATCGATCCACAAAAACACGCACAGAATCGAAAAAATACACGGGAAATGGACGTCCGAGCGATGGCAAGACGAGCTCCCAACCCGCCTCGCACACCCCGCGTGCCGCGGCCAGCAGGCCCAGACTGCGCCGGTGCTCCCCGGGTTCCCCGCCTCGTGCCTTCGACGAGTCATGGCTGCATGCCGCGGAGGCCATGCAGTGCCGGTTTTAATACATGCTCCGCGTGCGGATCATGTATTGAAAATGCAGGGATTTAGTATTAAAAGCAACGTTGAGCTCTTGCATACATTCATGCATACATTAACCATGTATTGATATTCCCATATACCCTACCCAGGTTCTGGCTAGAAGGGTTCTTACTGTCTTGGCTTAAAAGGGGCCGGGCAGTGGAAACTGCCCCGGGCGGTTCCCCCGGCATCCGCCCCGCGGTTCCCCCCAGTTACGTCCCCTTAGCTTGGCGTTGCTTATCTCATCTTAGCTTAGCTTAGCTTAGCTTCGCTTAGCTTCATCTTAGCTTCGCGTAGCTGTAGCTGCAGCTTAGCTTAGCATATCATAGCATAGCCAAGCATAGCATAGCATAGCATAGCGCAGCATATCATAGCATAACATCGCATAGCATAGCGCAGCATAGCACAGCATAGCATAGCATAGCGCAGCATATCATAGCATACCATAAGGCTAGCATAACATAGCGCAGCCTAGCGTAGCATAGCATAGCGCAGCATAGCACAGCATAGCATAGCATGGCATCGCATAGCGCAGCATAGCATATGATGGCATAGCATAGCATATCATAGCGCATCATAGCACAGCATAGCATAGCATAGCGCAGCATAGCACATCATACCATAGCCTAGCATAACATAGCGCAGCCTAGCGTAGCATAGCATAGCGCAGCATAGCGCAGCATAGCATAGCATAACATAGCATAGTGCAGCATAGCATTACATAGCATACCATAGCAGCAAAGCAAAGGCAACGCAACAGCAGCCACAGCAAAGCAATGCACAAGCAACGCAAAGCAAAGCAAAGCAAAAGCAAAAGCAAAAGCAAAAGCAAAGCAAAGGAAAGGCACAGCACAAGCAATGTGCAACAGTACGATCAGAGAGCCCACCCGGTGAGCGAATGCAAAAACATGCGTGTGTGTGTGCGAAGGCAAACCAAAAGCAAAAACAAGCAAAAGCAAAGGCAACTACGACGATGAGGAGAAGGAGGAGGACGGCGTTTACCGTTACAACTAATGCTGCTTTCTTAGGGGCTCCAACTCCTAGGTAGGGTCGCACTGGGGTAATTTCAAAAATCCAATGTATTAAAAACTGCCCTGTACCCTAACTAAGGGTGACCAGTGTGCTGCCTGGGTGCCCCGCCTCGGTGCTCCATGGGTAGCACGCCTGGCGTTCCCGTGTGGGGATGGCTTAGAGCAAAATCATGCATGCGATTGCCTCTTCTTCTAAGTCGGCCCTTTCACCGCGGAACGCTTCCGCTCCTGAACGCCTCCCTCCCTCATCCCCCCCGCGCGGCCGCCCTCCCCTCCCTCCTGGCTCTCTTGCACGCCGGACAAGTTTTGCCTGTCGGTGCCCCCCGGCTGGCCACGCGGTGGTGCGGACCGCCGCCGCCTCGCCGGCGGCGAAGCAGTCTCTGCTTCCGAGGTGCCGGAGGGAGAGCTGGGCCGCCCTGCTGGAGGCGAAGCGCTCGGGCCTGGTGCGCGCCGCGGGGGTGGCCAACTTCGAGCTCGGGCACCTGCGCGAGCTGGGCACCGCGCCGGACGTGCTGCAGGTTCCCCAAGTCCTTCTGCTCCTCCTCCTGATCTCCTCCTCCTCCACCTCCTCCTCCTCCTCCTCCTGCTCCTCCTCCTCCTCCTCCTCCCCCTCCTCCTCCCCCTCCCCCTCCCCCTCCTCCCCCTCCTCCTCCTCCTAATCTCTTCCTCCTCCACCTCATTCTTCTCCTATTGAATCCTCCTCCCCCTTCTCCTCCACCTGCGTAGCCATGTTGGCTCAAGGGGGCAGCCGTTCTGGCTCAGGCCGTTGCCCGAGCTTGCAACATCAACTCTCATTCAGAACGGCCGTGTGCTGTTCTGGGCCATGTGGCCCTTCTTGCGTTCTGCTCTTTCGGCCCCTGCGGGGGCGGCAGTTCGTGCCCAGGCCTGCTGCGAAGAGGCACACTGCACAGCGAGCTGAGGAACCCGACGTCCTGTCTGGACGGCGTGAACCCAAGTCGGGCTGCCCCATCTGCGGACGCAGTCAGAAATGTGCGGGCCGCATCAGATGCTTGAGTGGGAAGATGGTTCCCACCTCGATCATAAAGAATCAGGAGGGGAAAAAGCACACAGACACAATTCATCGTCGATTCCCATGAAATTTGGGAAAATATGGGAAGTGGGGGGGAAGACAAAAACCCAGAACAGATGGGAAAATATGGGGAATCCTTTTATTTGTGTGTATTTATTTGTGTGTCCCAGGGCCCCTTCAAAGAAGGCGGCGCGCCGCGCTGCTCAATCTGCTGCTCCTGGTGGCGGCGGTGGTAGCGGTGCGCATCGCGGGCCTCGCGGTGCCTGGGCCTATAGGGATCACCCAAGAGTGTGGATGCCTCTGCCCAACTCGCATCTCTCGAGAAGCGAAGGATTGAACCAAGGATTGCAAAAAAACGAAGGATTGCAAAAAAAACGAGGATTGCAAAAAACCGAGAATCCTTCGTTCAAGCGAGGGTTTTTTTGCAATCTGTTTTGCAATCCTTCGTTTTTTTGCAATCCTTCGCTGGAGCAGTGCGAGCAGGTATTGGCCAAGGCCTCCTCCCCGTCCGCCGGTGGCCCGAAGCACACCAGTGGCGCCGAAGGGGGTCAGGCTCAGAGGGACAAGCTTGATGATGTTGCTTTTGAGGGAGAGAAGCTCCGAGAGCGCGCCCAGCACCTGGAAGAGTCCCTCCAGTCGGTCAAGAAGTGCGGCGAGACCATTGCGGCCTCCGTGCGCAACGGCCTACAGACTGATCTCGATGCCGCCAGGGAGCTCACTCAGGATGAGAAGACGAGGCTCTCCCGTCATACTGCATTCAGGCACAAATGGGAGCGGTGCAGGCTTCAGTTTGAGAAGGGCCTGTCAGACAGCAAAGGTCAGCTCAAGGTCGTGGATCTTGCCCAACAGCTTCTCAAACATTTGTAATGTTATCAGGCTTTGAAGCAGGCGGATATCGAAACCCTCGAGATCGAGCTGCAATAAACGATGCGGGCGATGGCACCCGATGCACCCGTCGAGGAAGAGATCTCCGCTTTGTCCCAGGAGCAGCTCGCGAGGGACGACGCCGCCGAGGCCAAGGCCGTGGTGCAGAGCCCTGCCCTCCAGAAGCACAGAGGAGCTCGCTAAGACCCAGCATCCGCAGAGACGGGCTCGGGCGTCCCACCCCGGTCTCGGAAGCCTGGCAAGGGCTGCTAAATCCGTGGCTGCTAAAATTAAGTCGGGCCTGTCCCGCTACAGGGGGATTCTCGACGAAAAATAAAAAATAACCCCCCAAATAATCAAACATTAATCAAAACATAGTCTGGGGACTATTTGTTTGTATTTTTGTTTTTACCTTTTTGGGGCATTTCTGGTGTATTTTTACTTTTTCATCCAAAATCTTCCTGGAGGGGGACGCGCCCGACACAATGCTAAAATCGGCCTCCGGGAAGTTGTCTTCGTCCTTCCTGGAAGGAGCCCGTTGACTGTTTCGCGTGCCGCGCCTCCTTCCGGGAAGCTGTGTTTTTTCCTCCCGGGAGGGCCGCTCTAGCGGCCACGGTTTTAGCGGCCCGCGCCCAGCTTTTTCGACCGTCTCCGGGCCAGGCTGCAGGTGCAGTCGCTGGCGGGGACCCCGGGGGGCTGCGCGCAGGAGACGAGCCTGGCGCCGAGAGGGTCAGTCGAGCATTGTCGCAGGCCCAGAGGTTGACACCAACACCAAGATGGGCGGTGTGCCTCCACCGAGGAAAGACGATCCCGATCTCGGTGATGGTGCTAATATTCTGGCTCCCAAGGTGGCCGAAGTATTACCACCAACACCGAAATCTATGATCATCTTCCCCCTGTGTAGGCACCCCCCTGTGTTGGTGTTGGTGCTCATTCCCATGCCTCCAATATTGGCGGCGGCCAGGAAAGAGGGCGGAGAGCACGCACTGGAGCTTGCCGACCTTGATTTCGTCCGTTGGCACACGCTCAAAGAGTCAACGTTTGGTTTAGGTCGGGCCTGTCCCCCTACAGGGGGATTTTCGACGAAAAATATAAAACCCCACCAAATTAGCCAAAACATAATCAAAAAATAGTCCGGGGACTATTTTTTGAGTATGGTTTTCCCTTTTTGGTGCATGTTTGGGGTATTTTTTATTTTTCGTCGAAAATCCCCCTGTAGGGGGACAGGCCCGACATAACGTTACGTGTGCCGAAGCTTTCGCTCTGCCGGTGCCGTTGGCCTCGGGTGCCCCGCCGGCCTCGGCAGGATCCCGAGCTCCGCCTCTGAGAGGCGGGCCCGGTGCGTAGGCTGCTTCCGATCTTGGCATGACGGGGGCGTTCCATGGCTCGCGCTTGGACAATTGGCGCCGGCGCCTGAAGATGCCAGCGGCCATGATCACTTGTGCGCAGGAGACTGGTATATCAGATTATTTTGTTGGTCCTCCTCCTCCATTTCCTCCTCCTCTTCTTTTCCTCCTCCTCCTCCTCCTTTTCCTCCTCCTCCTTTTCCTCCTCTTCCTTTTCCTCCTCCTCCTCCTCCTCCTCCTCCTCCTCCTCCTCCTCCTCCTCCTCCTCCTCCTCTGTCCCGCAGGGCGCCCTGCGCCCTGTGGATGGGTCAGGTCGAGTTCAACCCCTGGTGGCGGCGCGATGACCTGCTGGCCTGGTGCGCGCCTCAGGGAAAAGGGTACCGATGCCGCTGCCCTTTCATTTGTTGTCGACTTCGTGCGACCTCCTGGGAGGCCCTCGTCGCCACGGCTGGACTTGCACCGACTTCCCCGTCGGATCGCACCCTGGGAGAGCTCCGCGGAGTAGCAGTATCGGTACCTTGTGGTTCCCCCAGGTGCCGCGGCGCTGGCGCCCAGCTGGTGGCGTACGCCAGTCTCGGCAGCTCGGGCGCGGCGGGTGTCCTGGGCGACCCGCTGCTCCGCAGCATCGCGCGGCGTCACGGCGTCACTGCCGCGCAGGCCCGAGGAAGAAGATCGGCATCAACAGCGCCTTTCGGAGGTCCGCGCCGCGCTGTCGGATCGGCGCCGGGTCCCCTTCCACGGCGCGCTGCGCGCGGGAGCGCCGGGGGCGCCGCCAGGGGGGGGGGCTTGCGCGGACCTCCGAAAGTTTACGCATGTGTGTCGCTGTGAGGAGGAGGAGGAGGAGGAGGAGGAGGAGGAGGAGGAGGAGGAGGAGGAGGGAGGAGGAGGAGGAGGAGGAGGAGGAGGGAGGAGGAGGAGGAGGAGGAGGAGGAGGAGGAGGGGGGAGGAGGAGGAGGAGGAGGAGGGTTTTCTTCCCGTGCAGGTCCTCCTGCAGTGGGCGGTGACGCGGGGCATCGCCACGATCCCGTCCGCGCGGAGCGAGCGGCACATGCGGGCAAATTTGGGGTGCTGTGACGGGTGGGCCCTCAGCTCGGAGGAGGACCCTGGGCGATCCAAAAGGGGGTCCAGCTGCAAGGGGGTGGTGCAATAGATTTGGGGTAATTGCATTGCAAATGTATTGCGCCGGAGAATTGTTTTGCATTGTATTGCAAGTAACGTATTGCGCGCGACAATCCAGCAATACATCTGCGCCCGGGAATGTATTGCACGCCCCACATGTGTTGCAACCCCACAAATCTATTGCACCAGATCTATTGCACCACCCCCTTGTCGCTGGACCCCCTCGTGGATCAACCCGAAGGACGCGGCACTCTCCTCGATCCCGGTGGCCGACCAGTATCGCGCCATGTTCGGGGAAAGGTAAGGCTCGAGTTCGCTGGAGCGCTGGAGCTCAGGTCTGCCTAGCTTTTGTTGTCGAGACCGTCTTGGGTTTTCACAGTCCAGTTCCCACGTTACGTTTGTAGCGGGAGCTCGATTCAAATCTTAGATTGGATCTCGGTATTTTTCCGACGGCCCCGACAGGCCAACTAGAACCACCAACCACCCGAACCCGAGTCTTATCTCCCCGATATCTGGAGAAGAAAAGACGGCATGAACACGCAAATTGTTGGAGGTCCGCGCGACTTGCCGCAATCTTCGCTGCACCCCCGTTGGCGGCGCCCCCCCCCCCCCGGCGCGCTCCGCGCGGCAGCGCTACAGCGCCGATCCAAGAACTCCGCGCGCGAAACTTTGCGTTGCAGTCGAGTTTGATCAGCGGGCCGGCCCTCCCAAGTCACGGGTGCCGTTGTGTCCTGGGTGTTCTCGTCGCAGGTCCTCTGCGCACCTCGGGCCGCGCGGCCCTCGGAAGGACCGCGTGTCCCCTCCCGCGTTCTTTGTCGTCAAAGTATACTGCGCTGCAGTGTCTGTTTCCTCTCCTGGCCATCCTGCCAGACCCTCGGTTCGTCTACTCCCCCCTGGAGCCGTCGCAGGCCGCAGCGGGTCTCGGTGTCCACAACCACGTCATTCGGTCGGCCGAGGAGCCCAGGGAGTTGGGCGCAGGAATTCGGTGCATGGGCGCGCCAGCGTCCCACGGGGACGTACACCGCTCGGTCGGCCAGGGAGCCAAGGAGTCGGGCGCAGGAGTGGGGGGCATCGACACCTGGGCAGCAGGGGCGCATGCACACCGAGCTCCTTGGCCGACCAGACGGCCCGGCGTGTACATCCATCCCCTCCCAAGGCCGCGGCGGCCGCGGCGAGGCCCCTCGCACACAGGAGGCTCGACCTCTTCGGCGCCGTGGACGAGACGAGCTTCGGCCTCCGGGGCGCCGACGCGGCCTGCTGGGGCGGCGAGATGCAGCGCTACCCCTGCTGCCACCCCGCGTTCGGGCCGCTCGGCCTGGAGAGCTGCTGGGGCAATGCCGCGGGGGGAGAGGGGCGCAGGGCTGGACGCACCGATCCCCGAACGCCACTGGAGCGACAGAGAGAGAGCTCGGCCGCCTTCGCCGACGTGGGAGCGCAAGCGTTCCGCGTGGTAAGGTCGCGCGACAGCGCTCTCGTTCCCACTGTGGCGTGCCGCGCTGGCGGCCCACGTAAGCCACCGCGTGAGGTCGCAGTGGCAACGTGCGTAAGACCCGACTCGTGTCATCGCTCAGTTCATCGCCGAAGCGATTCCGACGGGCCACCGCGCCCAGGACCGCGCGGAGCCGCTCGTGGGCAGGCCCCCCGTAGCGAAACACCGGCGAGGCGTCGCCGATTCCAGGCCCACGTCCCCTGTTTCCCCTGGGCTTGACGACGACGAGGACGACGACGACGACCCTCCAGGAGAGCTGCTGGGGCGGGGAGTACGACTTCCAGCGGTGCTGCGCGTCCTCCGGGGCGGGGAAGGCCCTCCCCCTGCCCGCGGTCGGGCCCAGCGGCAGCGGCGCGGAGCGGCGCGGCGACTTCGTGGTGGTGGGTGCAGGCTCGGGGGGCAGCGCCGCTGCCGCCGCGCTGGCGGCACGGGGCTTCCACGTGCTGCTGGTGGACTCCGGGGGGTGGGACTCGCTGGAGCA